ACGAATTCTGTCTTGTATAGACAGAGGAAGAAAAGGCCTAGCTCTATTTCTGCTCTTGTCATAGCTCACACCGGTAAATTTCTAATAGAACCAGAGAGTTCTTTTCTCAATTAGCGGTTGACAATCTGAACCGCTTGGTTGTGATCGGGGCTTAGCCCGACTACACTACACCGAATCAAAGAAGGGCAGGCTGCGCCTTCCGGGAACCCTAGAATCTCAAGACTCCTTGTCTCTATCTTCAACCCCAAAGAAAGAAGATGTGTCTTTTCCAAGATTAGCTTCGAGCCCTGTGATCTCATCAAATGGATTGATACAATCTCCCAAGCTAATCAAATCATCTCTGTCAACAATTGGTTCACATTCATTCCTATGGAACGAACGAAGTGAAGCTATTAGGAGTCAACCCAAAATGAAAAAGAAAAACCACTAAGAAAAATGAAAAGAATAGAAAAGAAAGAACTCTAGAACCACCAACAAATGAGAAAAAAAATAGCACTTTAGGCATTCTATCTCAAGGGTTCGGTTGTTCGCCGATTCAAGTGGTACGTGAGTTGGGTTTAGAAGGTCGTGAGACAATTCGGTTCCTATCTACCGTTGGTGTTAAAGGGAGAACTGCGAGGAGCCAACCCTAGTACGAGAGGACTGGGTTGGGCCAACCTATGGTGTACTGGTTATTATGCCAATAGCAGCGCCGGGCAGCTAAGTTGGTATGGAAGAACTGCTGCGCCGCGGGAAATCCTTCTCTATACAAGTTCTCGGACGAGGGTTTAGAACAGAACTTCGATAGGCGAGAGGTGTAAGCACCGCGAGGTGTGAAGCGATCTCGTACTGAACGAATTTCATTTTCCATAACCAAAATGAAAGAAAATCAACCTGCAATTGCGGTCAGTCTCGCTACCTTTTTAGTTTAGTTGCCGCTCCAGAACTGCAGGTGCTTTTGATCAATAGAAAAGATAAGAGAAAAGTTGACTCCTTATTCTAGGGGGGTCGCGGAAAGATTTGGGTTCGAGTCCCAAAGGCCCCGATGTGGCGAAATTCTTTTAGGACCAGTCCGAAATTATGAATAATGACCTTTTTTCTGTTATAGAACCGTTTCTAAACGCGATTCCGGAAGACCTACCCCAAGTTCCAGAGAATTCCCCCTTCAATGTGATTCCTTTTATATCCAAAAGTCCTACGTTTAGATCTAGTGGGCAGTTTATTTTTTCCCCGGTTTTTGGGTCTATAATTGGAGCCCACCTTTTTTTTCCGTTTCTTTTTTGGTTTGTCTTCGGATTCTTCATAGTTAGATCAATTTTTTTTGTGTACCAAAAGCTTTCGAAGATATTATTAAAAAAATTATATTACAAATAAAAGATTATAAACTTAAAAATATACATTTTTCTATTTTCATTAATAATTCAAACCTGAATCTAAGGGTAGGTGAAATTTAGCACAAACTAAAATTTTACTTTGCATATTATGATGGGAACCCTTTAGCAAATATAAGGATATATACGGCGTCTATCAAATAGTATTTAGTATAGAAAAAAATACTTGTTAATATTTTTAAAACTTGAAAAAATTGATTTTTTAAAATGTTGAAAATGGAAGAGTAAGAAAATAGAAGCAAGACAAATACATTCAAAAGTATTTCTTTTCAATTTCAAATCTTCTCATCGAGACAAAAACACCTAACGCCAAACTGTTTCAGGAAAGATGGTGTACCATATCATCATAAACATTTCATTGTATTGTCGTATTCAAGGGCGGAGCTAAATAGAAGATTAGTGGGGCAATTGCCCTAGCTGAATTTTTAATTTGTGCTAGTTATCCCTTGTAAATTCAAGAATTTTTTATGAAAATATAATTTTTGCCCCACCTAAATTGAAAATCTAAAAGGACAAGTATAGTAAATTAGGAAAACAAAAATTCTTGCCCCATCACATTTTTGGGGCTTGGCTCCGCCCTTGGTCGTATTCATTCATACACATCGATCAATCTAGAAACAAGAGCCATGTACTCCTCCTATATATATACTAGTGATGTCTGGTCGCGCAATGCGCGACCCTTGCCCAGTCTATCTGTAGATTTTAGAAATGTTTATATTTGAAAAAAAATAAAATTTTGTATTTGGAGTGATATATTTTAAAAATATTTGAAGGATTTAGAAATGTTTATAAGTGTGATCATAAAAATATTTGTATTTCGCAAAAAAAAAATAAATTGTATTTCGCCATGTATGTTTTAGAAATATTTTATAAGGGTTACTTATTAATAAATAGCCTTAATCGAATATATGTGTTGAAGTAAATGTTAGATAAAATATAAAAGCATCCTAATAAATTTAAATATTAGTAAGATGATTTATTGATGTTTACCATTGGTCGTGCCAAATCAATACTTAGTTTTGGAGATTTTTAATAGCTTTGTAATAAGCTTCATCCGAAGGGTATACGCTTAAAACAAAATTGACACTTTGTAACAAAAAACCTAATTGATCAATTCAATTTAAAAAACCACTCTAGTTGAATGAAACATAAAGGAAAAAAAAAAAAACATGTCACATAAAGTGCAAAGGGAGATTTAGTAATTTTGTTATGGTTAGACAAAAGGGCAATTTAGTACTTTCTATATGCCACGTGGCAATCATATGAAGTGTTTGAAAGGGAGGTTTTTGTTTCTAATATAGTAGGATATATATATATATATAGGGGAGAGAGAGAGAGAGAGAGAGAGAGAGAGAGAGAGAGAGAGAGAGAGATTACTTTGTTAATTTAAAATAATACAATAAAATAGGTTTTTTTTAGATAGATAAGAGTAAATAGTTTGACGATGAATGATGAATGAAATTAAGAAGTCGGAGTTCAAAATTTATGAATAAAAATCTCTTTTACCCTATTAAAGCAGAAGACATGAAGCTTATGTGGCAATTAAGTATGTATTTGTTTTGGCTCCAATGCACCATATTTCAGATTTCAGGAGTCTTTTTGCCACGTGTAAGTCTCTTTTAATTAGAAGTTATATAATTTTTTTTTTCAAAAAAAACACATGTTTTACTACAAATAAGGATCAGTTACATTTCAAACGAATGAATATATTAATTCAAATTCAAATGTCCGATCGTATAGTTTTGCAGGCTTAATATAAAAAAAAAATAAAAATACCTAAATCCAGCAATTAAGAATAATGCCTTATAAACTAATTATTTATTATTCCCTTATAACCTCAGATTTATAGGTATATTTTTTTAAGCCCAAATCATAGCATAAATGATATATACGCCAAATTAATTCTTCAAAAAATAGTAATTCAATTAGATTTTGATAAAATAGTAATTTAGAAGGGGCGCCCGGGCATCTGCCTGGGCCAAACATCTAGTCTTATAGTTAAAGACATTGAAGTAAAACCACCAAAAAAAAACAAAAAAACAAAACAAAACAAATGTAGGCAGTTTTCTAATCTAATTGTTAGCTTCACTCTTTTCTTTTCGATTTTCAGTTTTTTTTTTTTTTAATTTATGCAAACTCATGCATTCGCGTTGTATTGGTATTCTTCTTCTTTTTCTTTTCCTTTTTTTTTTTTAACGAGAGTTTACTGTTGGTGATTTTAGCTGTAAAAATTACATGAAAATATGCACAATTTAATTACTAAACATATCATCATCCCAACCTCTTGTGCTCTGCCGAATCATAATATGCTAAAATAAAAATAAGAAAATTGAGCCCGAAATAAATAAATGAAAATAAGCATCAGTTATAATGAATTCAAAGTATCAAAATTAGTACCAAAGGAGCATCCTGTTCAAGCCATCATTCCTAATCACCCAAGGAAGTAGTTCAGTCGAGACATCTTGGGAGAAGTTCAAAAAGGAATTCAAGAGGATGTTAGGCCAAGAAAGAAAGAAAACATGTTTTTATTTGAACAAGAATTAGGCTGATCAAGAATAAATTTTCATACCATTACATAAATACAAGCCAAATCAAAATTGATAGGTTAATCATTTTTATTTATTTTTACCTCAAATAGGAAAGCTTTGGAAGAGCCAGTCTGCGGCAACTGTGAAGCCATTCAATTTAGGGTTAAGGGATTCGACAAAATCGCAACCACTGTGAGCATGTTCCAGGAGAATTGATTTTGCCTCATGTTGCTTGATTTTGCCTCATTTTGATGTGAATTATCTCATTCCATTTTAGGGTATACTACTATGTATCTTCTATTTAATACTATTATTTTTAGTAGTAATAAATTATATTTAATATTGTTCTGATACACACTTATCTTTTCCATATGTTTTTTTCTGATGAATTAATTTATTTTTCTTATTTTAAATTTATATTACCCTATCATTCTCTCTTTTTTCCAGCCGCCACCCTGATCTTTCTTCCCCACCCGCCAAACATTAAATTGAGTTAGCTTCATTCTGCAATTTGCTTAGTAAACATTAACTTAGTAAATTTGATCCAATAATTAAATGATATATGTACGGTGAGATACAAAGGTGAAATAAATTAGATACCTTATGTATTATTACTCTTTGTCATTTCCACTTCATTATTTCTCTTTCTCTTTCTTCTAAAATGATTCTCCACTTGAAATCTTAATTTTAACACAAATTTTACTAAACTCAAAATTCCGACCGGACAATTATTTCTAAACATTGGAAATACATATATAACGAAAAGCAACATTAACCTGAAAGGATTACATTGTGTAATTTAAAATAATATAGGTTGTATATAGTAGTGCGTTGAATCAACACCACTAATGTGTGAACTAACCAAAAATGAGGGCATCTTTCGACAAGAAAATAAGAAAAAGAGAAAATTGTGATGGAAGTTAAAAGAGATAAATATCGTTTTCCCCCCTTTAATTTGGTATAAACCAAACGGAGGCTTTCACTTGAAGCCTTATAATCAAAGAAGGCATGCAGGGAAGTTGAATGATAGATAGTTGAAGACTTGAATTCCACTGAAGTGAGGGACAAGATAGACTAGAGTCCATAGTAAAAAAAGAATAAATAAGGCATAAAGGTTAAATTTTTCATAAGATTGCAGAAGATGAAATTGTAAGAAGGGACTAACATAACACGTATCATTGAATGGGAGTGGCCTTGATAGAAAAACTAGATTATGTGCCTCTAGGAGAATACTTAAAAAGAATGTAAAAAATGTCGCACAATAATTTGTTGCAGGCAGTAATCAAAGGACATATACCACCACCTTCCATCAAAACTGGGAGCTCCTTTTATTCTCATGCTCCATAACAACAATGCCAATGATCAATAGTACACATCAGACTGCACAAATACTATACATTACCATAATGTTTGTTTGGCAGTGAGTTTACAAGGATAGTAAGTCATGAATACAGTACAAGTTCTCACGCCTTCATAATTTTTCTGTCAGGTAGCCTTCTCCAGCTAATTGTATCTTTCAGTACAACTACCTTCTGGTCCTGGATAACTGCATTGTTGGAATCTTTACCAGCGTGGAACAAATGCAGATCACTGTGCAACGACGACAAGGGAATCCTAGATCTTTAACAGGCAGGTTCTAATAATTGCAGCAGCGAGCCTGACCCTTAACCAAGTTGGCCCAAAGACAAAGCATTTGGCGAGGCGATTGGTAATGCGCAGTATAATAGTCCTCCATGCACCCATATTGACAAAATTTCCAGTTGTGTGAATACTGAACTTGTGTAGAGCTGTTGAACTGCTCAACCCACATTCCCATGCTGACATCCTCCATCTTGAATAACTGCCAGGTTTTCAAATGAAAAAGAAAACTGATCATTAAGATTATCCACATGTTCTACACCACATGAACTAAAAAGGCCCATCAGTTTCTTTGTATCCCAAACACATATCATGACCAGGCATTATCCCCTAGTCATTACCCCCAGCATTTCTGAAGCAAGAATTATCTAATGAAAACACACAATTCTGATTTATTACATACCCGTAGATTATGCTGCGCATGTTGAGCTACAACGTACTTCGCGATGTCCCTAGAAATTATGTAGCCAGGTCCATTGGCATAAGGAGGGTATATTTCTTCAGGCCATTCCTGATAAAGAAAAACATTTTTCAGATATAAGCTTATCAGAATGTATAGTAAATTAGACAAAGAAGTATCATTTTGATGCTCAACCCCTTAATAAACCATAAAGCAAGATCTTGATTGCGATCAAGCATACCTGAAAGGACACAGCCCACTTCCCAGTTCTAAGAGGTCTGTGCAAGAGGTTAAGATTGCCCATATAAAGGGACCTTTTGGGAGATACTCCAGCAATTTCTTTAAGGACAGTATCAACTCTTACAAATGTATCGTCATCACATTTCATGATATATGAAGCGCTTACATTTTGGACCTGCATTAGAACAAAAGAGCCATATGTAAGAGTTAAAAAGGCCAAATGGATTGAAAAAAGATCAAAAGTGTCGTTCAATAGTTTCAAGAACTAAGGGTTAAAGAGATCAGTAAAGCAACAAAAGGAAAACAATTCAATCAGACCCACCCCATATTCACAGATGGCAATGGTTTTGAGAACTACTAGTTCGTATCGATCCATGAATGGAATAATTACGATATCTCCAAAATAAGCAGCCTCTTTCTTCAAAACAGCATTCACCTCCTTCCTGGGGTTCTGCAGCATTCTTCAAACAATTAATTACCACACCAAAAACAAAGAGCTCGCAAACTAAGTTCAATGGAAAAACCAGAAGCCTCACAAAATGTCTCATACAACCAATGCAAATAAATTTGTTACATCTCCATCAATTAATTTTCAGGTATTTGCTCACAGAATAAAAATGAAAGAGGAAAGGAAGCAAACGCTTTTCTCCTAAGCTTAGTTTAAAAAAGCGCGCCTGAGGCGCGCCTGGGCTAGAAGCGAGGCGAGGCGACCATGGCATCGCATCACAAGGGGTGATGCGAGGCGTTTACCTGAAGCGAGTGTAATGTGCAAAAAGCGCTCGCTTTTGATGCAAGCGTGATGCGTTAGAGGCGAGCGCCTCATGTATTCGTCACTTTAGTCATATGTTTTTTTTTTAATGAAAAAGAAAAGGGAAAGATAAGTTTTACCCTATCCCTATTTTTATTCAGCCGTCTCTCTTTCTCTACTCCTCCTTCCCGCGTCTTCGCGTCTGCTACAAGCTGACCACCAATCTCTGTCGCTGCAAATTCAAGTTTCAAATCAGGCATGTCCTCCTCCTCCTTCTCTTCTCTCTTCCTTCTTGCTTTCACCTTCTTCTCTCCTCCTCCTCCTCCTTCCTCTTCTCTCCTTCTTGCGTTCACGGTTCACCTTCTTCTTCTTCTTTCCTCCTTCTTCTTCTCTCAGGTCTCATTCACCTTCTTCTTCTTCTCGGTGGGAAAAAAAAATGTCCAACTGATTTTGTCTTTTAGCAAAACATATGATTGAATTAATTCACTAATTTTTGTTCACCTCCTTGTACTCTATGTGTTTGTGATTATGCCCCTGAATCCTCTCTATTTTTTTTTTTTTTGAATTTCAGTGAATTACATGGCGTCTCAATCTACTTCCCCCCTATTTTTTGTTGAATGACATGGATTATATTATCTATAATTGCCATCTATAATTGAAGTTACATATATAGTTCACTATATTATATTACATATATATAAATTGTATTGTTTTGTGGAAGAGGTCGCCTCACATACGTGATGTGTTCGCTTTCGCCTCTCGCCTCTCGCCTCTCGCCTCGGCTCTCGAGCCCCTTGTCGCCTCGGTACGCCTCTCGCATTTTAAAACTAAGCTCCTAAGTCATGACAGTTCACACAAAATTTACCAGAATACACACCAGAATTTAAGCATTCAATTAAGAGAAAATATTTCCACATGCGAAATAGTGATCCATTCCCACAATAGCCAAACAGCAGCAAAGTAACATAACATGTTCCCAATCAAGATGACGATATTTATAAAATCTTTAAAGTAAGAGACTGAATATAGTAATTCCTCTCTTCCGATTCTGTATATTCATTTTCTTCCTCAATTGAGATTCTAAAACTAGCAAAAACCTTCTCAAAAAGACACTATCACTAGAGGAGCAAATATATCAAAAACTATTCCTATCAAGCAACAGCTAAGCAGTAGTAAGAAAGAGAAACTGTACTTCTCTTCAATTGTATGTATCACATAAATGCATGCGAAACATACTCAATTAACAATACAAGAAGAAGAAAGAGAAGCTTACCAATGCAACAAAGAAACGAACCACCACATTTGAGGACCTAATTGCTGCAGATTGCATCCATGTCTTCCGAACTGCCATACGTTCTGCAAAGTGATTGGTTGCCGAGAGTACGCCAATAAAAACCTGAATGTTGTGTGAGGGCAAAGGACTTGATTTCCACTGCTCAGCAAAATCTATTACTCTTTGTGGTGAAAAACTTGGATGAGAGGTCGGAAGAGAGGTGGCATGAACTGAATGAATGTCCACATCACCTTTGATTGCTAAGCCTGTTGCATCTTCCAGTGTAAATCCCTGAAACAAAGGCAATCACGTAATCAAACTGGAGATAACCAATTAGCATAATTAATTTTTTTTTTATACTCTTGCAGCGGGCACGGGTTTACCCGTCTCCTGTGGGTTCCCGGCATTACTTTAAAAAAAGGTGACTGTCATGAAGTGTGACTAACATACCGTTCGGTATGGAAATGAGGTCACATGTCGACCACCAACATTGATATGGTACCCGTCAACACCAGCACGAATAGTTAGAACAAAGAGACGATCCTCTACAAATGGAAATGGCCAGGTCACTTCGGGCATTTTAGCCCGTCCAATAAACCTGTCAAACCATGAGAATATTTTGGATTCCTTTGGATCCACAATATCGTTTCGCATCCATTTCTCACATCTCAAATAACCATCAACTGCAAGATAATTGGTGGGTCACATGAGAATTAGATTCGTATTAGCTTTACATCAAGAAGTGCAGAGAACGTAAAAGAAACAACACTACTGCATACTAAAATCCAACACAGTTTTTCTCACATATATATTTAGAAAATAAAGTAAGATTTAAAAATAAAAAAAAATAAAAAAGGCAAAAGAAGCTGCAACTGAATCACTCAACTTCAGCCCACAAACCAGTATAAACATAATCATAATGAATAAGAAAGACATAAATGGAGCGTTTATGAAAAATTACAAATTAAATCCTTACCAAGCATGTCATCCTCCCTCCTGGATGCCACACCATCACACCTCTGGGCTGTGCCCCACTGCATCCTGTAGCAAGTATTATGCTCAATGACTGGTCGATGGCTCCAATCACCTTGCAATCTAGGATTCAGATGCAAGATCTTAGGTGGATCCTCTCCAACTACAGCCTTCAAACCCTGTAATTCAATCATGAATTGAGAAACGAGAACCATGGCATCAACCTTCAATCGGGCAAGCTGAGGCACATATTCCTTGTGAGCTTTACGAGGTGTTCCAATCACTGTGATTGAAGATCCTGCAGCAAGCCCACAGGGAAGAAACATCATGTTATTTTCCCCAGCCAAATCCTTTCCACTCACTGAAACCCATGAAGGACATGATTCAGGTTTTCCCTCAAGTATGGTGTCCATCTCAATATCCTTCCCTTTATATTCCTCAACTTCTTCCCATGCCTTCTCACCTAATGCCCAAGCCTCATCAGCCATCTTCTCAATAATTGAAAAATCACTCGTTCTGTTCCTTCGTCTCAAGATTGCAGCAGCTATTCTACCATAATAGAGGGGAACCGGCTTTAGAGTTTCAGTAACACCCATTTTCTCTTCTAAAGCTTCTTCATGTGGCATCTTAGGTGCACTTTGATCCATATTATTTTGCAGTATTCTGTGAAAACCATCTTTATAAAGAGAGCTCATCTGTGGTTTGCTTAGTTCAGTATGCTCCTCAATCCCAATCGACAAACCTTCCCTACCCGCTCCATCATCATTACTATTCAAAAGTGCAGCGCTCTCAAAGAATGATGGTAACTTCAAGCACATAAGAATCAAGTACATTGCAACAAACGCCATTAAAACATGAGACCACTTAAACCTCCTTACGCTTGGATCACTTTTATTCCTCTTCATCATCCTCAGCTATCCCCAACTCGCAAAACACAAATTACCTCCGGTATTCTAAAAGACTTTTAACCCATTTCTCACAACTAACCTAAATGAAAAAACCCACAAGCAGACCACGAAACAGCAGAGACTAACAATCCTAAAAGGCAACAAAATTCAAAAAAAAACCCACTTCTGAAAATCCAGTGTCGATCATATTACCAAATGGCTCAGAAATTAAACACTTCAAAACATCGTTCAAGCGAAACAAACATCATAAACCATAAATTCATACCGATACATCCAAAGATACTGAACTCCGGAACATTAGTGCGTAACTGTTACGGCAATGCAGCAATGCAATCGCAATTTTCTGAACCAAACCGTCACTCAAACTGAAATTTCTGGATGACAGAAACCCACAAATAAAGAACCCTAGAAAGGAATTGCGATTTTGCAATGTACGCGCGTATGTGTATTAATGAACTTTGGGTCCCGATGGAAAGAACAGAGATAATGGCTCCAATTTTAAGGGGCCATTTTTCCCATATATTTTGATTGTTGTACGAGAATAAGTTTGCTTTGCCAGTCCCTAGATTATACCTTAATTACGTATTTGCCCGATAATTTCTAATTTCTTAAGAAAGCTCTTGCCTATTTTTTGGGAGGAAAAAAAAAGAGTAAAAAACAAATAAAACCCCGCCATTTTATCTTCTCCAAGTGAACACATTCTCTAAGAACACATTTTGATTCCTTTGAATACTGCATTTGAACCTCGCCAACTGCAATTTGCGCACCCGTTTCCAAAATCCATAGTCATATTACGGCAAAAAACCTTGAATCGTGTAGAAATGGTTTCTTCAGTATCACCTTCATGGGTGATGTATCAAGGTTTGTCCTTGAATCCTGGATTAGGCTAACTCTTTGTTTTTTGTTTTTTCGGTTTTCTGTAAAGAGCTTTTTCATTCTGAATTTTTGTTTATGTTCTGGGTTTTGCAGATAGAGGAATATCAAGAACTATAGTTGCTGTTGATGGGTCAGTTGCTGCTAAGAATTTACGTACACAAGATGCCACGGTTCGTTCTCTCTTTCAAATTTCATCCAACGTTTACAGTTTTAGGGTATTGAGGTAGTGAATTTTCAATTTTTGTTTTGAATGTTATTATTATCAATGAAAATATCCATACAAGCATGTGGATTGTCAAATGAGGATTAGGGAAATTGACTCAAGGATCCAACATATATACACTATTTGAAAATTGGAGGCAACTTTTCCAAATAAATGACAAACTTTTAATTCCATGCTACTCATTGATGATAGAATTCTAATCTTGTTCGGATCAGATTCTATTGAATATTGGTTCATCAAAATGTTCTGCACTGTCTGTCTTGGTTACCTTTGGTACATGAATTTGAGTATTTGACTTACTGTTGTAGTTTCCTTTGAATTCATTTTGGATGGAGTGGCCTCTAGGAGCACCCAGAATAGTTGAATTGAACTATCTTGGAATGGGTGGACAACTGTTGCTGTGGTCCTTTTTTAGTCGTATATATATCTTAATGTAGTTACATATCTGGTGCACACTGTTTGAGTTTTTTCAATGGATGAGCACAGGGTATGTTCTCTCCCCCACTGCTAACACTCTTTAACTCTTGTAAAAGGAGACAGTAGGTTTCTCATTCTGGTGAAATGTCTCGATGTGCATGGAAAGCTTGAATCACTTGAATTGTTTGATATAGCAAGTGATAACTTATATAATGCGTATGTCATGATAACGTTCTGGTTAAAAGGTACTAATCATTCTGCAATGTCTTGGGAACCAACAGATATCTTTTTCAGGATCATTCATTGCTTCAATCAGACAGTTGAAAGCAGGATCTATTAGACCTCTTAGGAAAACGCCTCTCCTTCCTTGTATAAAATGTGAGAACTCAAAGAAAGAAGAGAGTTCATATGAGCAAGTATCTGTTGAGCCGCCTCCTTATCACGTTTACTTTGACTCCACGTCTGGTCAGCTTGAGCCAACTTCCGGAGATCGTGCAAGTATTCCAGGACAAGAGTATTGGCCAGAGGGAACTGCTAGTCGAGTGAGAGCTGCTAGGGCACCTGAGCCAACTGGTGTCTCCACTGGTAGTCCTTCTTATGGACAAAAGCCTGGAAGTAGGAGGAAGAAGTACAAGGCATCAGTTTCTGCTTCTGAGGTGCAAGAAACCAGTTCAGCTACGAGTGAACTTGTGGAGGATGAGACTACCCATGATGTACATGAAGAACCCAAAGAACTTTCCTCAGATTTTGTTGTTTATCAGACCGAACCGGAGGAAGAAAACCTAAGTGAATATGAGTTGGACAAGAAAATTGGACGCCCTCATCCCTTTATTGATCCAAAAGCAAAAAAGCCCATAGAAGAGCCACTATCAAGTGAAGAACTATGGTGGAACTGGAGAAAACCAGAAAAGGAGCAATGGTCTAGGTGGCAAAGAAGACGTCCTGATGTCGAAACGGTTAGTCCTCAAACCTTAAGCCAATTTAATTGAATAGATGGGTTTAATTTTCCTTTTCTGGTAGATGAAGTTAGGATATGTTCTTTGATAAGTCTTGTAAAAGTTCGGTAGTTTTTTAGATGTTTTATCTTTCTTATCCCTTCTTCACAGATGATACAATGAACTGCAACATGTAAAACATTGTTCTTGGAATCTGAAATTTACACCACTAGGATCTTCCAATTTCTTCCTATTTCTGCTGTCATTTTCGCCATCCTTTGATTTCTGTCTCTGGAATCAGGTGTTTCTTAAAGCTATGGCAGAGACAGGGCAAGTAAAGCTTTATGGTGATCATCCTACATTAACGGAGACTTCACTTTACAGGGCAAGGCGACATATATACAAAGAGGAGAGGTGAAACGATTTATTGCATATGTGAATTTGTCTTCTGTCATTCATCATCAATACCTTTTATTATTTAAATTTACCTGATTGTCTGGTCACCACATTGCTGATAGATTTCACTAATGATGGGGTTATGATTTTGTAGTCTGGCATTTGATATGAGATTTAGAGACTTTAAACATACTTGTAATAACTTGAAATTTAAGATTAGATAACTGAAAGTGGTTGCTTTCCAGTAAACATAAGAGTCTTTGAGAAAGGAATAACTAAAATCAAGATGTTTTAACAATTCGATTGTTTTTTATTGAGTGGTGTAGGGTCTGTAAACTTCTCTTCTCGCTTTTGTTTTTACTTCTTCAGCCATCTTTCTTCACTCCTGATCAGACCTTCCAAATATCTACTATAGAGCAATTTTTGGGTTTAGAGATGGGGGGTGAAGTTTTCTTCAACATTTTGAAGGATCAATTTAAGGGGAAAATGAAATATGAAAATGTTATCATCTTTCTTTATAACTGGCCAAACGCACATCTGAAGCAAAGCTGCTGTTTTATAATTTATTTGTGGGGTTGGATTTGATGTTTTAGGCTGAAGGCTGAACAAGATAGGCTGGAAGAGGTTGGTCCATTAGCGTATTACTCAGAATGGGTCAAAGATTGGAAGAAAGATACCTCCAAGGAAGCTGTCCAGAAACATTTTGAAGAGACTGGTGAAGATGAAAACACTCAGCTCATTCAAATGTTCATGCATCAAACTGATCGGGAGTACCGCATCATGAAGGGTACTGATGTAAGAATTCGCCGTGATCCTTTAGCAATGAGGATGCGGGAGGACCAAATAAAACAAAGTATTCACTTCTAGCTCTCTCTCTCTCTCTCCCCCCTTCTCTCTCCTCTCTCTCTCTCTTTTTGAGCTAAATTCAAACATTATATTCTCGTGTCTTATTTTTCAGCGTGTTATACAATCACTATACAAATTTAAGTAGCATTGACCACATATCAAATTGGGTCATCAGGTTCTATAATTCAGAAGCCAAATGACAAATCATCAACAAACTAATGTCACCGGTGAATAAAAATTACACTCCCTTGTTCCAAAAAAATAGTTTATATCAATAGTGAAATCTCTCTCTCTCTCTCTCTCTCTCTCTCCAGCTGTATTAGTTAGAGATTTTCGATCAATAATTTTTTGTTTTTAACCTCCATCAGCATTTTAATACAGAGTAGCTAGAAAAACTTACTTTTTTCCAGAGAGTATGAGTTATCATTTATGTCTGATTGTTTTAAGGTATAGTTCAAATGTATGTTTACATTCATTCTCTGTTATCCTTGCCTCATGGTTTATATAATACTGTAAAATGTGGCAGTTGTGCAATTTAGTTTCCTTTGAAAAGTTCCAAGTTTTCTTCCATTTTGCCCTGAACAAAGAAAACATTTTGTAATGCTGGTTTCTTTGACACAGATTTTTGCATTAAACAATTTCCTGTGTGATTGCAGTATGGGGTGGTGATCCAGTTTACCCAACTATTAATTACATTCAGGATCCAAATGAGGTCATTGATTTCAGGGGTCCTGATTTTCATGAACCAACGCCAAATATGCTGGACTATCTGAAAGAGGTTAATTCCTTGGCCATTGCTTTTCAGTCCACTACTTTGCACATTACCTTTATTTAATATAAGTTTCCAATGATGAAAAGCGATTGCCATAAATTTCTTAAGTGTAAGCTTAAACCTAAATGTTTTTGAAATCATGGAAAGTGTTGGGCAAGTGGGGTGATGGTGGTGCTCATAAATTAGGATTGCTGCTATAAGTCGTGTATTACTTCATTTCATTTCATAGCAAGCTGGATATTCTTTGATTATGTTGAGTCTATGGTGTCCATTGCTCTCCAAATAGATTACTCTTAACTAAACTTCAGAGTTGGATTTAGACTTGGTAATAAAACTACTTTGCCAGTGTTTTCCAAATGCTTAGCTTTTTGTCTAGTCAACTTTATTTCCACATCACCATGTTATTTTTCCTGAAGATTACATTTTTGGAACTCAGTATGAATGATGTGGAACTTTATAATTATGTTTTGTGATGAACATGGGATGTAGTTACGGAATTTGATTACTCTCTGTTACTGCATTGATATTCTCCATCTGATATTTAAAATATTTCTGATCAGCAAGGAAAAGTAATTTCAAGGGAGGAGTTAGAGAAAGTTCTTGCTGAAGAAAAGCCAGAAGAACTTGAGGTAATGAGTTTATATTCTCATGTTTTAGTCTCTTCATGCCATAAATCTATGGATGGAGTTAACCTTGTGCAGTACCTTCCCCTCTTCTTTTCCCCCATGTTGATTCTTAATTGCATGGTCGCACGATTCCTTGGCTCTTTGTGCACTGGCTGTATGGTGTCTAGTACAGTGCCTCCTTTTGTGTTTTTTGTTTAGTTTTGGTTAATTTTGTGTTGAGTAATTGCTTCCCAGACCCAGATTCACAAATCACAAGATTATTTACATTGAAAACGCATTTTAACTGTTCTTAATTTGTTGCAATTAGTATTCTTTTAACCCAGAATCGTTTTGTAGTTTGCTTAATATACACAGTGGATGAAGGAACTTGCAGAAACTGGTTCTTCATCATAACTGATTCTTCTCTCATAATGTTTTATAGGCGACAGATATGGATGAAGCCATGGCACGAGCTGTTGATATTGGGGAGAACGATGTGAGACTTACATTGTGTTTTTGCTGTTTTAATTGAAGACTTCGATGTTCTTTTTATTGTGTTAAACGTTTTGACTTATGCTTCGGCCTTATTTTAGGACGAGGAGGAGGAAAGTGAGACAGAAGCTGATGGTGGAGAGGAGGAAAAAATCTTGCGCAATTGGAGTGTTCTGAAAAGTAACTCAGGGCTTCAGAAATCAAAGGTGGTTTTTGTTGGTTCTGCTTATTCCATCTTATTTTAACATGTATCTCTACCTTTTTGCTAGATGTTTGAGGAGAGGGACTTGCACTTTAAAATGATGCTAATGAGTAGGGTAAAAATAAGAGTCAAGTCTGAGTTGACATTGATTCTCCCTTGTCCCTTAATCCGAATTAACCTAGTCTGGATTTGAAAAACCAAGAGCTGGAAATTGGTCCAATTTTGTAGCATTTGGTGTTGTTGTCCTTCCGAGCGTAATTGAGTTAAAATTCATTTGGCTATAACATTAGGCAGTCATGCATCATTCCCATCTCCTGTGTTTTCTTTATTTTCCAATATAAATCCACCAATATTTTCATCTATTTTGCCCCATTTTGATTACCTTCAGCTTTGTTTTCCTACAGTTGAACAAATTATTTTTTTAAAAAAGAAATCTAATCTATACTACAGTAACTAAGGAAAAACAACTGAAATAACATCATGTGCTTTATGACGGTTGAATTTGTAAGCACCATTGTCCTATGGTCAGATTGCAAAAAGGTACTAAATGTTAGATGGGAAACTAACAAATGCATGGTGCTAAGACTTCTAACGGTGGGGGAGTGTTTGGAAGACTAGAGGAGATGGTCCCAGGGAAGTATATATGTTGCAAAAGGGAATATAGGTTGGCGATGATAACCTAACCATCATTCCTATCACTTGCGAGATTCATCATGTAGGATAATTTTGTATTGTGGATGTGAGAACAGAACTGAAATTATGGACCACTCCGTTTCTCAAAACATGTTAACTGTAGTGACACTTTCAAGTTTCCATTTCAGTAGTGTTCACCTCCCATTGAGCAGTAGGAGATTATCTTCCGAACTTATCTTTGGATTTCTCTCGCAGTTTCTTTCTTCTTTGTATATTTGTTAATTGAACAAATCTGGAGTGTATTAGATAAGCAAACTTTGCTCACTGGATCAATTGTACACTAAATAAGTCCACCCGAATCAAGGGAAATTAGACCTCTTTTGAAACTGATCTAATCATATGGAAAGCGGAAAAAGCAAAAGTAGGAGCTAGATTGAGAAAAGGAGAGATATCTTAGAATGGGTCGGTTCCTTGTCTGGTAGGTTTGATTCAGTTTGATGGTTTCAAGTTGTCATTCAGTGTCGAGGGTGGTTGATGAGTCCCGAGGGATTGTAGTAACATGTTTTTACGACCATTAACGTCTGCTTGTTCTTCTTTGCAGGGTAAACCAAAAAAGAACATGTCTTTGGATGAAGCTATAGTTGATTCAGAGAACCTCACAGACTTCCTTATGGACTTTGAGGAGGATGAGTAGCCCTGCTGTCGGAGGAAATAGGAAATTTGAAGTATCCACTGCGATGAACTGAATGATGCATGAGCATGAATATCTCCATGTGTGCCTCTTCATTCAAATTCTTAGCGCATCTATAACCTGATGTTATCGATCACCCCCTCGAAGAGTTGCAGACTTGTAGTAGCTATCACAATTTCTAATGGGAAAAAGAACTAACAGACATTCTTACAACACATAGTAAATGAGTGAATGTAGCTTTCCTGGAACTATATTTGATTCCAATATGGGTTGTAGGGGGATGGCAAGGCCATGCCGAAGCTCTCCCGTGATCATCATCGAGAAGAAGGGATAGTATCAACATGATTGAATGATGACATTTGTATAAATGCTTTGTTTTGTAATACAAGTTAAGATTTTGGTTTCGGGCATCTGATGATGATTAGTTTGTTATAGAATGGAATATGGAGGGAGTCTGTTAGCAAGGAGCCCAGAAATAGAATGGATCCGGGTCAGATCCGATGGGTGAGGGAGAGAATTAGAAAGAGGGTAGAGAATACAGAGAGAATTGGGAAAGTGGAAACTGTCATTAGCCAAAAACTGAATAACCGCCGTCTAAATTACACTTTTATCTAATTCTGATTTCTACTGCCTTGTAATTAATTAGTTACTTTTGAGATTTTACAGAATTATAGTCATAATTGGACTATTGCTAACAAATCCTTCCTCTCAAAAGAAGAACCGTGTCCTCAAGGTTGTGGAATGTGGAAATGAAATGCCGGAAACTGAGCCTTGATAAAATTGTGCATCTTCCACGTTGCATCTTCAGGATTTAGGTTCAGCCATCGAACGAGAATTTGGAGAACAGGACGGTTATTCTTGATGAGCGTTCGATATTGTAACACAGCTTCAGGTGCAACTGCACTCTAGTCTTCTTGATCAGTAAATGGGAGATTAGAGAAGTTGTTTACCCTTGACCAATCTTTCTCTTCAATCTCGAAACGTGGAACACTGGATGTACGTGATTCCGAAGGTAACTGTAACCTATATGCTGCTTCACCAATCTTTTCAACGACTCTGAAGGGACCATAAAATTTTGAAGACAATTTCAAATTCTTCCTGAGCTTCACCGAGTTTTGCCTATATGGTTGTAACTTGATGTAAACCATGTCGCCCACCACAAAGCTTCGTTCTGTCCGATGTTGATCAACAAACCATTTTCATCCTGGATTGTACTGTCTCAAGGTGATCCTTCAACAATTGAGCGATAGCAGCCCTATCCCTGACCATTTGACTAGCAGCTGGAGCAATGCTGTCACACAAGATTCCCTAGGGTAATGGCTTCCGTTTGTATCCATAACAAGCCTCAAATGGAGTCATTTGGATGCCCGTGTGATAGTTGGTGCCGTACCACCATTCTGCCAGGCTCAACCGCTGTTTCCAGGTTGTCCGACGATCACAACACATACACCGTAAATAAGCTTCTACACATTGAATCAATCTTTCACTTTGGCCGTCCGTATGTGGATGGTAAGTTGTACTATAGTGTAGTTGCACTTCCAAGCTTTTGAATAACTCTTTTCAGAACACACTGGTAAACAGTCTACCACGATCTGTAATGATCGTAGCTGGTACATCATGCGATTTGACGACATTATCCAAAAAAATCTATGCAACGTCTTTCGCCGAATATGGATGGGCAAGTGGCAAAAAATTACCTAACTTGGTATAGCGATCAACTACCACCAAAATTGAATCACATCCTCCTGAAAGTGGTAGCCTCCCACAAAATCTATATTAATATGAGTCCACGCCTTGGTAGGGATTGGGAGTGGTCGTACCAAACCTGGAATGGGTATGGTTTCGTGCTTGTTGCGTTGGCACTCGTTACATTCTGCAACGAACTTGTTGATCTCTGACCACATGTGAGGCCAGTAAAAGGCTGTTGAAATGCACTGGAAACTCCCCTGTTGCCCTGAGTGACCACCCAAACCTAATGTAAAGCCCGCATGATTTGCAGCTTGAGTTCCATCTTGTTTCCGACGTAAACTTTGCCCTTATAACGAATCAATCCCACACTGTATTGATAGTCCGGCATACCATCAGGATGTAATGTCAAGAAAGCAATCAAATCTTGGCGAATCTGGTCACCCTCATAGCTGGCCTCAATTTCTTGTACCCATTGTGGTTGGACTCCGGTGATTGCCAAAAGATGAGACGATGATGTCCCTGTATGTGGCAGCCTTGATAACGCATCAGCAACTGTGTTCAGACTTCCTTTTCTGCACTGAATTTCATAATCTAGGCCAAGCAATTTAGTAAAAAACTTATATTGCAAGGCCGTATTGAGATGCTGATCCATCCAAAATTTCAGACTTTGGTGATCAGTCTTGATCACGAAGTGATAACCAACCAAGTAATATCTCCATTTAACTTCAGCCATGACTAAAGCAAGCAATTCTTTCTCGTATATGGACAAACCTCTGTTCTTAGGGCTCAATGTCTTACTCAAATATGCAATAGGATGACCTTCTTGACTCAGGACTACTCCAATTCCTGCAGTGCATGCGTCTGTTTCTACTACAAAGGCTTTGCAGAAATCTGGCACTCCCAATACCAGTGAAGAGCTTACTACTGCCTTAAGTCGATTAAATGCCAATTCGGCTTCCTCAGACCATTTAAATGCATCTTTCTTCAATAACTCGGTTAGAGGTTGAGCTATCATCCCATAACCCTTTATGAATCTCTGATAGTAGCCGGCCAATCCCAAGAAGCCTCTCAATGATTTGATACTTGTTGGTTTTGGCCAGTCTTGCATGTCCTGCACTTTTCCCTCATGCATCTCAACCCCCCTGCTGGAAACAACATGCCCCAAGTACTCCACTTTCTGTTGAGCAAACGAGCACTTCAATTTTTTTGCATACAACTGATGGCTTCTCAGTAACTCCAAGGTTGTTTTCAAGTGTTGTTGATGAGATACCAAATCTGGGCTGTAAACGAGAATATATCAAAAAACACGAGGATGAACTTCCCCAAATGTTGCTGAAACACTTGATTCATGATTTCTTGAAATGTTGACGGAGCATTAGTTAAACCGAAAGGGATAACTAGAAACTCGAAGTGTCCGTGGTGAGTTTGGAAGTCCGTCTTATGCACATCCTGGGGTTGGACTCGAATTTGATGATATCCCGATCTTAAATCGATTTTAGAATAGAACTTTGATCTTTTTAACTCGGCCAGCAATTCCTCAATGTGTGGAATAGAAAATCAGTCTTTAATGGTGAGGGTGTTCAAGTGCCTGTAATCTACACAAAATCTCCACGTCTCATCTTTTTTCTTGACTAATAGGACAGGCGAAGCAAAAGGGCTATTGCTGTAATGAATGATGCCTGCTAATAACATATCAGTCACTTGTATCTCAATCTCTATTTTCTGCGAATGCGGATATCTATAAGGCTTTAACTTGAAAGCTTGTGCATCTGGTTTCAACATGATGGCATGATCTTGAACCCTTTCTGGAGGTAATCCCATCGGCACTGCAAACACATCCTCATACTACTTGACCATTTCTTCAATTGTTGGGGGCACAACCTCATCCTCAATACTGATTGTATACAAGGGCTCGCTTTCGTCCTGTAGCCATTCCTCCCGCCGACACTGTTTCTTAAGACTATTATTACGTACCTGCAGGCCCTTTCTTTTAAGTTTCATAACCAGATGATCCACCATCCCTTCTAAGGTCATCACCTTTCATCTTTTTGTTAGACTAATTTTCAATTTTTTGAAATCAAACACAATGGGGCTATACTGATACATCCAATTGACCCCAAGTATCATGTCCTGGCCACCAATATGCAGAACCCTGATAATGGCTAAATTGTTACATAAAAGCATCACAATTAACTTTGTATTTAATAAAAAATTGGGGGTATTTCCTAACAGTGGTGCAATTTACTTAACTTGTTCTCATATTGTTGTTAGGTAAGGGCTGAATTAAATAATTGCTGAAAATTGGAAGCCAAAGGAACAATTTATGGGCTGCTGAGGCAAGGTTGCTGAGCTGAACGAAGAGAAGGCCCTTAGACAAGAAGCATCTTGTCATTTATGACTTTACCTCCTCCTAGAGACATGCTTGTCCCCCAGCCACAATCTCAGCCACCCCTGCTGATCAATGAGAGCAAAACGGCCACTGCTGGAAGAAGAGAAAAGGAACGGCCAAGTTGGATTGCAAGCTCAAGACATTGGGAGGATTAAACAACTCCAAGCATGGGGAGGCTCTCATGATGAAGACACCGGTTGCAAGGCCCTATAAAAGAGGGAACTGCACTCTCAAATGGGGGATCCATCTCAATCTCTGGTTATCCTTTTCAGTTTCTAAAAACACCCAGAAAACTCCAAGTAGAAGGCAAGAAAGAAGAAGAAGCAGCAACAACTCAGTGAGGAAGCCAAGTTGAAGAGTAGCAACCCAGTTTCTTCTTCAGTTCCACGAGTGAACCCTATCACTCCCAGGAGTGACTCAGAAACTGCACAAGCTTTCTTCTCATCTCTTGACTGTTAGCTTGAACTTTGTTTACTATGCATACTTCTATGATGTCTTTCGATATAGTAGATGTAGCATTAATCTATATGAGTAGCTAAACAGTTCCCAGGGGTTATTCTCCTCAACTGATGTTGTAGTTGTCAAAGCACTGGTTTTGTTCCTTGTTTTATGGTTGAAAGTTTTTCTACATTCATTTATTTGATCACTAAATTGAATGCATGTTAGAACTAAGGCAGATCTGGAAGGATAAACTTGGTTTGGATTGTTTCAACTTTAACTTATGACATAGAGGTAACAGTCTATGGTTTTAACTAAGATAGGAATATACTTAGTTAACATAAGCATTCTTGAAGGCCTAAGAACTTAATGACTTTGTAGCTGGAATCAATCATTGAAAAATAGGTTGTTAAAGTTGCAAAGATGACTCTAGGAAAAATGGGAACTGACTTAGAGTTATAAGTGAGCTGAATGAACAAGAACTCAACCATTACAGTGCTAATAAAACAACTACAACAGTAGGAAGAGGAGAAGAACACCCCTGGTTTTCATTCCCCTGAGTGATTGTTTCCATTCTCCTGAGTGACACCTTGTCTGACTGGTAGTCTTTCTTTACAACAAATTTGGTAATTAGCTGTCCTCGTGGGATCGACCTAGCTTCCATTATCTACAAAACTCATAATCCAAGCTAGTAATATTTTTGGTGAACTCGGCACGCACCAAACCCTACGATCAAACACAAACTCATAACCCTGAATCTTCCAAATGAATGTGAACTTCCTGTGTCACCTAATATACGGACTAAGTGTTCCTTGACAGTTCCAGACAAAGTAATTGTCTTCCTTTTAAGTGTAGATGACAAAGCGTGTAAAGAAATTTCCACTTTCTTACCTGGATTGCCCGTATACTCATCCTGCTCCCTTTCCGCATCCACAAATTCATCATCCTCTTCTTCTGTTAACACCATATTAATGTGATTATTCTTACACTGATGCCCTGGAAAGTACTTCTCTGCACACTTGAAACACAAATGAGTCTCCCTCCTTCTATCATACTCCTGGGACGAAATCTTCTGAAATTGAGGTTTTTCCTCCTCTCTGATCTTACTTCCGCCCCCAGAACCTTCGTTGGTGTTGGCTGTATACTGTAGTGTCGTTTTCCCTCCATCATTATTC